GAGAAATTGTAGGAGCATTTGCAGATCATTTTAGGCATATATTTAGAAGGTCTCTAAAAACAGGGTGTGGCTGGAAGGTTTGGAATGGCCAACTCTGAAGAGAGAAGATAGGGAGTGGATGGAAAAGAAATTTGAGTTGGAAGAAGTAAAAGAGGCGGTTTTTCAATGGATAGATCAAAGGCACCGGGCCGAAATGGTTTTACGATGGCTTTTTATCAGGATTGTTGGGTGATACTAAAAGATGACTTAATGTCAGTGTTTGATGAATTCCATACCAAAGGATTAATTAACCCTAAGCTAAACTCCACTTTCATTGCTCTGGTACCCAAGAAAAGTGATGAAAGTCATCCGAAGGATTACAGGCTGATTGGTCTAGTCAATAGCCTATATAAGATCATCACTAAGGTGTTGTCCTTTAGAATTAGGAAGGTGCTCCTAGCAATCATAGCAAATAACCAAGGAGCCTTTGTGAAGGGGAGGTAGATAACAGATCAGATTGTTGAAGCAAATAAGAGTCTAGAGGATTTCAAGAGATCCAAGAGAAGAGGGGTGATCTGTAAATTAGATCTGGAAAAGGCTTATGACTTGGTTGATTGGTCTTTCCTATTGGAGGTGATGATTAACTTTGGGTTTGGAGACATTTGGTGCAAATGGGTGATGGGTTGCATTAGGGATTGCCATTATTCCATTTTGGTGAATGGGACAGTGGTGGACTATTTCCCAGCCTTGAGAGGGATTAGACAAGGGAACCCCCTTTCCCCTTTTCTGTTTACATTGGTTGCAGAAGTGTTGGGGAGATTAATATCCATAGCAGATTCTAGGAATTTAATAAGAGGATGGAGAGTTGGAAGAGAAAACATACCACTCACACACCTACAATTTGCAGATGACACAATTCTGTTTTGTGAAGGAGGGGTATCAATAGGATTAAAAACCTGAAGCTCACTATATAACATTTTGAGCAAATGTCAAACCTTAGAGTGAACTTTGAGAAAAGTTGTATAGTTGGAGTCAATATGGGGGAGGAGGAGGTTTGTGAGTGTGCAGACATTTTTGGGTGTAGTATCTAATTGGCCCTTAAACTACCTTGGTTTACCATTGGGAGATGATCCTTAGAAGGTGAATTTTGGGCCCCTATTGTGGAGAGGTTTGAAAAAAGACTTGCCAACTAGAAGAAAAATTATTTATCTCTTGGAGGGAGAATCACTTTAATTAGGTCTACTCTTGCTAACTTTCCTGTCTATTTTTTATTAGTCTTTAAGATTCTGGCTAAGGTTGCTAGTAGGCTGGAAAAACTAATGAGAGACTTTCTTTGGGAGTTGTGGGAGGAGAAGAAGGACCATAGGGTCATGTGGGAGGTGGTATGTTGGTGTAAAAAGGATTGGGGTTTGGGAATTGGGAATATAAGGATTAGGAACTTAGCACTACTAGGGAAATGGCTGTGGAGATTTTCATTGGAGAAAGAAAGACTATGGGAAGTATACATGGGCTGGCAGACAATGGATGGGACTTTGGGATCCTAGCAAGGACTACAAGAGCTTCTCCTTGGAAAGCTATTCAAGCCATTTTGCCCTTGTTCTGTCCATGGGTGAGGTATGATTTGCACTCAGGTAATCTCATTAAATTTTGGCAACATGTGTGGGTTGGGGACTCCTCTTTGAAAGATCAATTTCCAGGCCTCTTTGCTATCTCTACCCTTAAAAATGAATCAGTTTCCTCTTTCCTTGTACCTTCTAATTCACCTTTTGGGTTCGGTTGGAACTTGAGCTTGAGAAGAGATGTCAGGGACACAGAGTTAGCCTCCTACATTTTAGCCTTATTGTACATTCTTGAAGGGGTCTTCATTGAGCCATCAAAGTTAGATAATAGAATATGGACACTCACTCCCTCGGGTTCCTACACTTGTGCCTCTTTCTTCAAGTCCCTTTCATCCCCTTCTCTTGTTGGATTGTCTTTTCCTATTAAAGAAGTGTGCTGTCGACCTATACCTCGAAAGGTTGGGAGCTTCTGTTGGGAAGCCTTCTTGGAAAGAGTTAATACAAGGGATCTACTTCAAAGGAAAAGACCCAATAGTTTGTCTCCTCACTGATGTGTCCTCTGTAAATCTGATGGTGAGTCTGGATATCACGTACTAATTTCTTGTCAGTTTGTTAAAGTCATTTGGGAATGGTTTACTTCTTTGTTTGGATGCAGGTGGACTCCCCCTTCGAATGTGCATAGCATATTTACTTCCATGCTTAACTGGTCAACCAAAAGGGCCAAGATCATGTGGAGATGTGGTAGGGCTGCAGTATGTTGGACTGTTTGGGAGGAGAGAAATTCAAGGTTATTTTCAAATAAGGAGAGAATTCTGGAAGTAATCCTAGAGACTATCCACATTAGGGTGATACACTGGTTAAAAACCTTGGAATTGTTTGCAGTATTCTCAGTTGATGAGATGACCGGAAAGTGGAAGAGGGTTGCAGAGTCAGTCTCAATCAAGAAGACCTCAAATTCTTGCTGGACACCTCCACCTCATGGGTTTACCAAACTGAATTTTGATGGTAGCAGCATGGGCAATCCAGGGCCCTCTGGAATGGGGGGAAGTGATAAGAGATGAAAAAGGGAATTTGTTAGCTATGTATCCTGGTCCAATTGGGCTGTGAGATTCCTTGAGAGCTGAGATCCTAGGAGCTCTTGAAGGGGATACAAAGGGCCAAGGAAATGAACATTAAAAAGTTGATCGTATAAGGTGATTCTGAAATTATAGTGAATTGGCTGAAAGATGACAGTTCTATGCTCTGGAGATACAGCAATGAAAAGAGGAAGTTCAAGTGGTTCACCAAGTATATTGAAATTCGTTACATGGATAGAGAGAAGTGCAAATGCTTTGGCTGATGGTCTAGCTAGGCAAGGGGTGAACAGAAATGCTATTTTTTGGGCTGTTTTGTAATTGTTTTATGGTTAGGGGTTTATAGGGTATTAGGGAGTTAAGATTCTTTGGCTCCTTTCATTATAACTCTGATTTTCCTAATTATTAATAAAATTCAATGTTATTGATCAAAAAAAAAAAGGAAGAAGAAAAGAAATGGTGATGATGTTTACGCTTATCAGTTCAAGTTTTCAAGTCTTCATGGGCTCAAGCCAGTATACATGTTGATTGAACCCTAACAAATGAGAAAAATAATATAAAGAAACTAATATTTTAACTTAAACTGAATAATTTAGTTTAATAATGTCTATTTTATCTATTATTATATTAAAATGTTAAGAATATGAAAGTATCCAAGAGCATTGTGTAAAAAATATCTTGGTGATTAAGCAAGGCAACCCTCCATGAGTGCCTTATCGCCTAGGCATTGCCTTGACAACTGTGGTTTATACACCAGGAATACACAAAAAATGTACGTCAATTATGAGAATCTATACCGCCACATCTTTTGTGTTTACAAAAACATTATCATAAGAAAAAAAGGAATTAAAATCACAGAATCCCCATTTCCTCAATATTATTGGTGGTATGAGGGGAAAAAGATTCTTGAAATATTTTGCATTGCCTTCCTCGAGAGAAATGGGAAGATTTTTCCAATTCTTGCTGACATAGTAAATCATTATTGCATATAACTGACCAGAATTTTAGACTACATTATTTATACTTTAAATTGAATTATATATAAGCATTTGTCATGCTGTATTTTTGTGGTATGCTTACTAGTTAATTTGAGCTTTATTTTGCAAAAAAAGTCCCATTTAAGGCAATTTTAAGCTGCCAATAGATATCCTTGAAGTATACAATTTAAGTGAAAAAAAAAAAGATTTTTTATACCTAAAGCGTTTCATATATTCAAAATGGAAAGAAGATTAGTAAATGGTAAGTGCAGCCTTTTAAAAGGTTTGCCTCTGGTGTGCCTAGGCTTACAGGTAAGGCTTACTTTGATGGGCGTTCCTCCGCTCAAGTGTGCTTCACTTTAACTTGTTATTTTATGACAAATTAAAATTGAATTCGATGTTTTAATTGTTAACTTGCTATATTATAGGTTGTAGCTGACTAGCTGTGTATTTAGAGGACTTAAACCTACAAGGCTAGAATTGTTTTAAATAGTAAAAAAAAAACTACAAGAGCCTTCGTGTCAGTAACGTGGATCGGCCTGAGACGCATATACCTGATCATTGTGATTTTTCTGAAGAGCATTATCAGAACTAAGCTGTGGCTCCCTGGATGAGCATGCTATGATATGAAATTCTTTGAGCACAGAAAACACCTGAATTCATCCCTTGTCAGAGCCCAATATCCCACTCTGGTAGTGATTATGGAATGCCTATGAGTTTGGAAACTCCCAAATACAAAAGAAGGGTACCAGAACACATGAAAATCTGCCACCACTTTGGGAGAGAATGTGAAATACCACCATACTTTCAAGTGTTAATATTTGTCAACATTAACTTTTCTGAAGTTCCATAGGGAAATTTTATGTTTCCTAATGCTTCTTTCAAACTGGAAGCTTTTATCTATTTATAAATTGTCATGAAATTTTGCCATTATTTGTTAGATCATCATTTCACTTGAAGTCAAATTTGTGAACATTATGCAAGCTTGTTTTTGAATCAGTGCTGTGCTGGTGCACCCATTGGCTTGTGAGTCCAGATGTTTTTTGCTTTGTATATTTTCTGCATCCTTTTTAGTGGATAAATGAAATACTATTGCTGTGAAAAGTAGATTATTATTTGTCAGGTAAATAACTGATGTTCATCCTTAGTTATAAATGAAGTGCTTTTATCAATTTAATCATGTAAGTATTTCACTTAACTTATTTGCATTCATTATATTATCCAATATGTCTCATTCTATCTGAACAATGACTTTACAGAAGGTGTTATTTTGCATTCTAGTCACTGTAGTGTAGCAGTTACTATGAAGATTGTCACATCCACATTTGGCTTTTACCTTTCCCATTATTTATTCGAACAAGAAACTCTTTTTGCTCATAATAAACTGAATGTTACATTGAAAATTGTTCTAGGATCCAATGATCTCAAAAATGATCTTATCGGCAAACCTACTTGGGTGTTCTGAGGAAATTATCACCATATCTGCAATTCTATCTATTCAGGTATTACATCTTGTTCAAGGTATTAGCATAGTCTATCCAACATTACTTTCTGGTATATCAGTTTATTGAATGCAGTAAATGATGATATGATATACTTGTTTTTGAAATATCAATTTGTGTAATATGTTGTCCTTATCTGGATGGGACTTGACATTGTACATTCCCTGTTTTCAGTCCATCTGGGTTTCTGTTAGAGGATCACAGAAGGAGTTGGATGAAGCGAAGCTGCGATTTGCTGTTGCTGAGGTTCTTAATCTCAAATTCAATTATGTGACAGTTAAATTGACAAGAAATAAAAAGAAAGAGAAAATTGTACATTCTGATAAATTTTCCTTGTCATGATTTTGAAGTTTTATGTCCTAAATTTTATTCTTCCTATTTGTCAGCATTCTGTTCTCCTAGCATGATATTTTACATGTAATTTGATTAGTTATTTAATTTGCTTCAAATCTTGTGAATATGATTATGATCTCTTTTATCATCTCATTTATGACACAACTATATTGACTTTTTGGGAGAGAGGAATCAGGCCTCTCTAATTTCCTAGCATACTTGTCTTTTCCTTATGTTTTAGTTATGGCAAAGGTGAATAGTTTGATTAATCCTAGTTCAGTTCTAGGTATATAATATGTAAGAAGAAAAGAACAAGAAGAAAAAGAAAGAGAGAAAGGGGAGAAGAAAGGGTTCAGTCAATGAGAGAAAAAGTCACTCCTCCCAGCCAACCCACTTTGTATTTATATTCTATGTGTTGGATTACAAAAGACAATATTGTCCCTCATTATGTATGGGACACATAACTTAAACTTAGACAAAACAGACTATTCAACCTTAATTAGATAGACAAAAGACTTAACTACCCTTTGTACTGTCGATTCTAACACTCCCCCTCAAGCTGGAGAATATATATCCCAGCTTGTCACATATGTAATCCACTCTTCTCTAACTCAGCCCTTTTGTAAACAGATCTGCCCACTGGTTTCCGGAACTCACATGAGCTGTATTTATCACCATCGATCACTTTTTCTCGTACAAAGTGGCAGTTGACTTCAATATGCTTTGTTCTCTTATGGAAGACTGGATTAGAAGAAATGTGTACAACAGCTTGATTATCACAATACAACCTCATGGGCCTGTCAAGTGAGAACCCCATTTCCTGCAAAAGATTTTTCAGCCACACTAGTTCACATGTAGTATGAGCCATAGCCCTGCATTCAGCTTCTGCACTGCTCCTTGCCACCACTGCTTGTTTCTTGCTCTTCCAAGTTACCRGATTGCCACCAAGGAAGGTACAATATCCTGTAGTAGACCTCCAATCCGACACAAATCCGGCCCAATCAGCATCTGTATACCCTTCTATMTCAAGAGTCAAGAGTTCCTCCACTTTTGTATAACAGACCACAACCTAGAGCACCCTTTAGGTACCTGACTATTCTTAGAACTACTTCCCAATGTGGAACCCGAGGATGTTGCATAAACTTACTCATCATGCTTACAACAAACGATATATCTGGCCGAGTAATAGTTAGGTAGTTCAATTTTTCCACCAACCTCCTGTACCTTTCAAGATCATCAAACTCTTCACCTGCATCAATACTCCGCTGGTTTGACACCCAACAACCCTGTTTCTTCAAGTAAATCAAGGATATATTTCCTTTGGCACAAGTTAATTCCATGCCTTGACCTTGCTACTTCTATTCCCAAGAAGTATTTCAACTTACCAAGATCCTTTGTGTGGAAGTGATCTTGTAGAAAGTTTTTCAACCTATCAATCCCATTGTTGTCATTGCCAATTATGACAATATCATCCACATACACCACTAAAACGATTTTCCCATATTCTGAGTCACGGCTGAACACAGAATAGTCTACTTGACATTGTTTCATGCCAAAGTTCTTCACTACTTCATTGAATCTACCAAACCACGCATGTGAGATTGTTTCAATCCATAGATCGCCTTCTTAAGTCTACAAACTTTACCATCCTACCCCTGAGCAACAAACTTTGGTGATTGCTCCATATATACTTCCTCAATTAGATCACCATGTAAGAAGGCATTTTTTATGTCGAGCTGAAAGAGAGGCCAATCATACATTGTTGCTAATGAAATTAATACTTGAACTGAACCAATCTTAGCCACAGGAGAGAATGTCTTCGTATCGTTCCACACTACTATCTGGAAGATACTTCACTGTGTATACCCACTTACATCCAACAACATGCTTACCGGGAGGGAGAGTGGTAAGCTCCCACGTGTGATTGTGTTGCAAAGCAGACAATTCTTCTTCCATTGCTTGTCGCCACCCTAGAGAAGTAAGGGCTTCTTAGACAGTCTTAGGAGTGGAAACAGAGGATAGCAAAGATATAAAATGGTGATGGAAAGTGGGAAGGTGAGCAACATAAACATAACGAGAAATAGGATGAGATGTACAACTACGTTTACCTTTCCGCAATGCAATAGGAAGATCAAGGTCAAAAGGAGGAGGTGCAACCACAGGAGCTGTCGACGAGGGTTGAATTGGAGGAGGGGCCGGTGCTCTTCTGTGAGTATATACTTGTGTGATTGATGGCCTCTCAGTATTAACTTGCACTGGGGAAGGCGGAGATGGAGATAGAACAGGAACCATAGGAAGGGGGTCCTCAACTGGAATTGGAAGTGGAACCACAGGAATAGGAGGAAGGACATCAGTATTCGAGAAGAATGGAACAAACTAAGAGAAAGTGACATTAGAGCACACAAAGGACCGATGAGAGATAGGGTTATAACACTTGTACCCTTTTTGGGTTTTGGAGTATCCAAGGAAGATGCATTTGGTAGCGTGCACATCTAACTTGTCTAAACTAGGCCCTAAATTTTGAACAAAACAAATACAACCAAAGGGGAATGACTTCCAAGGATGGACATGGGCATCCGGTTGATGAGGAAACATGATGTGAGGACAGCATCACTCCAAAAATGCTTTGGGACATTCATATCAAGCACAATGGACCAAGCAATTTCAAGTAAGTGTCGGTTTTTCTGTTCAGCCATGCCATTTTGTTGTGGGGTATAAGAACAAGAAGTTTGATGAATTATCCCATGGTGCTCTAAGTATTGCTGAAATGGTGTTGAGGTGTACTCTTTTGCATTATCTGAGCAAAGAAGTTTAATATGAACTCCAAATTGGGTACGTATTTCAGCATAAAATTTTTGAAAAATAGAGAACTATTTACTTCGATCTTTCATAAGATAGAGCCATGTCATCCTTAAAAAGTTATCAACAAAAAATTACAAAATACTTAAAACCATTGTATGACACTACTTGGTCTGAACCCTAAACATCTGAATGGACTAAAGAAAAAGGACTCAAAACACGACTATCAGCTTTAGGACTAAAAGAGCTCTATGGTGTTTCCCAAGTTGACACAACTCACAATCCAATGATGGAAGACGACTTAAAGACGGAACCAACAACTTCAAAGCCTTGAGTGATGGATGACCAAATCTGTAGTGCCACTGGAGAGGAGTAAGAGATGACTAGAGACCTAATTTTGGGCCACCACCATCAAGATGACTTAAAGATGGAATCAACAACTTCAAAGACTTGTGTGTCAATTGAACTCAAACAAATAAGAAAATAATAAAAAGAAACTAGCATAGTTGTCAAGGCAACAAGGCACCCTTGGAGGCTCCCCTCGCCTAGTCGCCAAGTAGTTTTGTGCACTATGTTATACAATACTTTTATATTTTTAATTTTTTGGCATTATAATTATAAAATAGGCATTATTAAACTAGAATACTCGTTTTATGTGTTTATGTACTAATTTCTTTTTATTATTTTTTTATTTGTTAGGGCTTAATCAACGCAAATATTGCTAACTACTGTATTGAACCCATGGTTCAAAGTATCGATACACCTGTGTATCGACAGAGGTTTATCAGTACTTATAACGATACTCCCCTATTTTTTCTATTTCTTTGGTTTTCAATTTCATTTATATAATAATAATAATAATAATAATAATAATAATAATAATAATAATAATAATAATAATAATAATAATAATAATAATAATAATAATAATAAAATTGGGTTCTTTGGGGCACCAAAGAAACAATACAGTACACCCGATACGGGGTGTATCGTATCGAAGTTTTGATCCCTGATTGAATTCTCAATGATTTCAGTACCTGAACCAATAAGCAAGGGAAGAACTTAAAATTTTGACTAATCAACACATTTTTTTTTCTTACAGATCTTCTTCCACCTTTTCTTTTCTTCTTTTCCTATAGAGGTTCAGCCCCTATATTTTTTGAATTTTCTTTCCTTTGTTCATTTTCTTCTCATAAAATGTTGATTTTCTAAACTTAAAACGTGAAATTTATACTTCTCTTATGTAAATTATGGATAATTATTAAGGAAACATGGTTATGGAACCTAGGGAACTACCCTAGGATATATTGTTTTACTTAAAAAAAATCCATCACCTAGGCGTTACCTAGGCACCCGCCTTCGCCTTGGCGCCTTAAAAACTATGGAAACTAGTATAGGAATAATAATATTAATATATAAATCAACAATATGAATAAAATAAAAATACAAAAAACAAAAAATCTTATTTGCTGTCTTACATATATATATGTAGGTGTTTGGGTGAGCCAACCCTCCAAGAGTGGCTTGTTGCCTTAGGTGTCACCTTGACTACAGTCCCATGTTGCATGTTGTTTGCTACATTGCTTGGTTATTTTCATGTGTTCTGTAGAAACATTTATATTTGTAGTAAAGAAAATCAAATAAACTACATTATGCTAGTCAGTTTTGAGAGTAACTATACTTTATTTAGCTTTCTTTCTCCTTGGCTTTTCTATTCTTCCTAAGCAATCCTATTATATGCAGGGTGACCATGTGACTTACCTGAATGTATACAAAGGATTCCTCGAGTCTGGTAAATCTTCCCAATGGTGTTACAAGAATTTCATAAATTACCATGCAATGGTTGGTAATTCTATGCTGTTTTAATTTAATCAAAGAAATGTTTGACCTTGCACTATTGTTTTATCTATTTTTATGTGCAATATGGTTTCTTTTTCTCCATTTGTTTAGTAATAGTAAATATGAATGTATCTTATGCAGAAAAAGGTTATTGAGATTAGAGAACAACTCAGGAGGATAGCTCAAAGGATAGGTATAGCCTTAAAATCTTGTGAAGGGAACACCGAGGTAATATGATTAGGCATGGTTTATTTCATTAAATATACTTGAATAGATATGAATCACTCTTCCGTATTAGTAGTTGACTTTGTTTTGTATAGATGTAAACTTCTTGCATCCTAGGAACTTTTTCTTTTTGATAAGTAACCTTGATTTCATTAAGTATTTGACAAATGGAGAGAGTACAATGGTTGTAAGATTGTCTGGTCAAAATGATTCCACTCAGCCCAATAATTCAGCCCAGAACAATTGTTACCTATTTATCCCTTTCTTGGCCAAGTAATCTTCCACTCCATTTGTTGTCCTCCTATGGAAGTAGCTGCCACTTCCTTGGCTAAACATTGAAGTTCCCTTGGTGTATGTCTATACTCCCAATCTTCTTGAATATTGTTGCATAACCAAGAAATGACCACCTTGGAGTCCCCCTCCACCTCCAAATCTCCAATAGTTGGATTCCAAGTTTCTTGGCTATCCTCAGCCCTTGTAGTACTGCCATTATTTCCACTTAACTGAATCACCAACTCAAATGGGGTGTAAATACAAAACTTTGATAGCTCCTGTTACATCTCTAATTACAGTTCCAAGGCTCCAATTCCTGCCAGTCTTGGGATGCCTAGTAAGCTGCCGTCAATGTTTAGCTTTAAACCCTAATTTGTTGGTTGTTTTCATTCCATCACAGTCTTATCATTTATCTTATAAGAATCACCATTATTTCCGCTTTAACTGAATCACCAACTCCAATGGGACCTGAATTTATTCAATATAAAGCTTTGATAGCTCCTAAACCTCCTATTGCATCTCTAGTTACACCTCCAATTCCTACCAGTCTTGGGTTGCCTAGTGAGCTGCCATCAAAGTTTAGCTTTAAACCCTGATTTGTTGGTGGTTTCCATTCCATCATAGTCTTATCGGTTATATTAGAAGTAGCCACTTCTTCCCAAGATCTCACAATTTCATTGATATTAAATTCCTACGCTCTTGCTTTGTCACTTGAAGATTCTTCTATTTCTCTCATCCCATATTGCCAATAAGATTGCTTCCCTTACTGCATTGCACATTATTTTGCCTCTTTTTTTAGGCTGCCTCAAGAAAATAGGGCTGAATAAGCAAGCCTCCCACCTGCACCCAAAGAGGGAGCACAACTCCCACTAAACACAATTCTCAAAGTACAGGAGATTAGTAAATGGGGGATAGTCTCATCACTTGCTTTGCAAAGAGACATCTATAAGGAGAAAAGCACATAAACAGATAAAAGGCCTTGTATGCTGCATGTCATAGGTATTGATCTTGCCCAAAACCAGTTCCTAATAGAAAGCTTGAATCCTAGGAGGGACAGGTCTACTACAAATTCCTTTCATAGGGAAGTTCATCACCAGATTATTTGAATGGACTAGAGAGCTGAAAAAAGAAGCACAAGAAAACAAATGTGTGGGAGAGGCAAATCGTATTATACTGTCAACAACATGGGAGAGGCATCCTAGGAACCTTTTGCTAGCAGATATCAAATACTTGATTTTTAGTTAGGCCACAGTTAGATTCTGTGATTGGCAATAAAAAATAAGAAAAACAGCAGAGAAAAGAATGAAAAGAAATATCAGAGAAMCTATGATTTAAGTTTAGGAAGAAGAGGGGTTGAGAAGAGAAGAATGAGATAAATGGGGCTATGACAGAGAAATGGGCCACGGTTGGAGCTTTTTGACTTTTTTTCTTGTCTCGTCTTCGCGTGGAAAGGCGTGCCTCCAACCAAATGGTTTGTGGGTGTAGAGAACACTGATGTGGGCCCCACAGCTACGGTCCCACTGTGTTCGTAGGGCAGAAGGTGTTCTAGTCTGCCTAGGGTTAGTTATTGGTCATTTAGTTGTTTCA